AGTGATTTCTCGCTTTCTGTCTCTATGTCTCTCTCTGTCTGGCGAACGCACGCGCCCTATAGCAAAAATCTCTCCCCCCCAAAAAAAAGAATGATTTAATTTTACTCTTTTAAAAAATTATTTTTATTTATTCAGTTATTTTAATTCAACCAGAGAGAGAGACAGAGAGAGAGAGAAGGAAAGTGAGAAAGTAAGCCACCAGGTTTGGGACTTGAACCGTGGTTGGCCCTGTGACAGTGTCCAGCGCTTTAACTACCACGTCACCTGCTGATCCCCCTCATCATTATTGTTTTTTAATAATTTGACCAGAGAGAGACACAGAGGAAGGGAAAGTGAGATAGCAAGCTGCCAGGTCAAGGACTTGAACTGTGATCAGCCAAATGGGAGTCTAGCCCTTAACTACCCTGCCACCTGTTGGCTCCTGCACCCCCAGTCTTATCCAGCCCAAATTGCAGGCACACTCCCACGTGTCCAGCGTGCTTAGGAAGGTCTTGAGATGTGAAGCTCCCAGAACTCTTCCTATGTGGATCCAGTTGCATTACCATTGCACCACCAGCTGGCCCCAAATTCTGCATTTTCACAAGCAACTTGGTGGCCACCTGTTACTCTGTGTGAGAAGTGTGGTGACCCATTCAAATGTGTGACCTTGAGCAAGTTGTTTATAACCTCCTCGAGCCTTGGCTTCATTTCTAAACAGAAGGCCACCACCACTGCAAGTCTGAGGTGAAAATTGGACGAAGTATCTGCAGAGTTCCACTTGGGAGCCCTGAGGCCTGAGCTTCCATCGTCTTGGCTTATCGGCCATGCCATCAAAGCCCACATCTGTTTTTTCTTTTTTTTTAAGATTTATTTATTTAATTTTACTTATTCACTCATTTATTTTCATTTGACCAGGGAGAGAGAAAGTGAGAAAGCAAGCCACCAGGTCTGGGCTCGAACCGTGGTCAGCCATGTGGGAGTGTCCAGCACCTTAACCACCATAAAACCTGCTGGTCCCAAAGCCCAGGTCTCTTAATTGAGCATGTACAGGGGGCTCTTTTATAATCTACAGATTACTGCAACTTCATCTACTTATACCATCATTTTAGTTGTACTTTCTCATAAGAAATATAGTTTTCTTTCTTTTTTTGAGATATTTTTGCTATAGGGCATGTGCTTTTTTTTTTTTTTTTTTTTTTTTTTTTGGGGGGGGGTGGCCCGCCGCCCAACCCTCTCTCCTCC